AGACATTTTGTAGCAAGGAGGGGAGTGATTAACTTTGCGGTCTAGGAGCGGAGGACCCTGGAACCATCAAGGGAGAAGATAGGAAAGAGGGATGCTACCTAGAGAAGCAGTGATACCAGAGATAGATACAGAGGCGATGATGTGGAGAGATGGAGAGGCTGGGGACTTTAGACCCAGAGAGGGAGAGGGACTGTGTGCAGACAACCGGCGTGCAGGCTTGTAGTGTTTACCCTTTGGTTGGTTGATGATGCATGGAGGGGATTGTAACCATGGCAATGAAACAATATACGATAGGATGAATGTAAAATCAGTGTTCTCCCATATAAACTATCACATAATTCACAATAAAACATTAAAAAATAAAATAAAATAATAATAATTGGTCAGCAATTTTTTAGAGAATGGCCAAATGTTTATAATACTATCTTCTAAGCTTAGAGATTTTTCTTTTTTTCTTGGTGATTTTTTTTAATGATTTTTCCCATCTATTGAAAAATATAATAATATATACAATCATATATGAAAATAAGATCCTTAAAATGGCAGAAAAAGAGTCATCAAAGTAAGTCTAATATGATCGCGTGCAATCACCACTAAAATATGTTTGGTCAAATTAAAACAACTAAGCCTTTATACCCAAACGAAAAAGCTGTTTTGTTACAGGCTAAGTGAAGGGTAGAATTGAGGAAATGTGTTTATAAATAGACTATACCACTATCTTTCAGGCATTTTTTCAATGTCCAGTAGACACTTAAAGGGTGTGTACAGATAGAATACAATGCATTAGGTGTTGAGAGGCATGAAGTCTGTCCCTGCCTTCAATCAAGAATAAACCTCATAAACATTTCAGTCGGAGAGTAACTGAATCCCTTGAACATATAATTATTAGAGGTTTCTTGAATCTTCCTTGGAAGTTTTAACTAGTTTTAAGTTGACATGTACAAAGTTTTTCTCTAATATTTCAACAAGTTTTGATAAGAACAAGCAGATGTCATGAAAGCATCAAAATGAACAGAATATTTAATTCAAATATGTATTATCACTTTGTTATCTGAACTAGGGATATTTCTTAAATGAGATGTAGAAGGTAGTATTTGCTTACATTTTATAATGGTAAAAGTTGTAGTCCTGAAATTCTCAATAAAATTTCTAATAAGCAAAGAAGTAGGACACTAAAAAGACAAAAGACAAAAACTTACTAAGAGAATAGAATAGAACTTTGCACTCATAGAGATCCTTTACAGGGTTTTTGAGGAGCGGCTGATGAGTTTTGAACCACCAAACTTGTAGTTCAAACCAACCTTGTGTTTCAGTACTTATGCTACAGTGCAACACCTGGATTCCACTTATACATTTTGTATACTCTTAATGCTTAATCCTTTACATTAAAATAAATTAAGGTAGATATGAGATGATAGATAAGCAAAAAATCTGTATTTGCTTAGTAAACATATATATACATATATATACATAATAATCATATAATACCAAATGTTGCTACAATTTAAGATTTAACATACAATTTTGTATGCTTTACATATGAAAACAAAGAATAAAATAAAGGCAAAAGGGACAGAAGTTTGTAGTAACAGGTTTTCATTTTAAATAAAAGAAATTCAGACCTTTCTATGCCAATAGATACTGTTAAAGTTTCAAATGACAGTATATTAAGAAAAGTATCCTGTTAAGCGAGACTATTTATTTCATGCCATTTAAAATAGAAAACAAATAAACAAAAAAGACACAAGACAAGTCAAACAGTTTTCTCGTTATTCTTCTAGCGAGAGATTCACTAACATTACATTTATGGTTAAATCTCAGCAAAAAAAAAAATGCATTTTTAAAGAGCTCCAAAAGAAGATACACGCATCTCAGGGATTCTAAAGTGTTGCAGTTTTGCATCTTTTCTTCCGCAGTTAAATTGATTCAGTCTGTGTTCCCCAAATAATAGGAAGATTTGATACATGTGCCTACTCGCTTGCTTCATTTGTCCCATTTGCAAGCTTCAGCGGCTGTCCCCCACAGAGCACCACAGAGACACAGCAAACCCGTGAAGGGATCACAATTCTACAGAACAAGCTTCACAGTAACTTGAGCTACAAGAAGATTTAAATTAGGGCAACTTACCCGATTCGGTGCAACAAAGATGATAAAGTTTGCAAGGAGTTGAAATCATGTAATACTTCAGGGAAATTCAGAGTAAAGCCGCTGCTCTAGTCTGTAAATTGGACTGCATTGACATTACAATCAACTGTTACTGACAAAGCTCGCGAGAGTTGGCAGCAGCAACTTGATCTGGAGGCGGCCAATCTTTACTTTCTGACATCTGTTCGGAGGCTAATGGTATGAATTCAACAGAGATTCATTTACAAAAGTATTACCGGATTCATGCTTTAGGATTTCAGGCACTTTCCTGAAGTGGAAGGAATAAGATAAAGAAGTTTCTTTGACTAGAAGAAGCTAAATTTTTACAGAAAAATACAAGTTTTAAAAAACATTAGAACACTTTGTCTTTTATGGGAACTTTTTATCTCTTTTAGAATGTATTTTTATATTACACATTTTAAGATTTAAAGATGTACATATTGTTCTAAAGCAGTGTTGTAATTTGCATCCTTTGTTATCTGTGCCAATCTGCCAATCATATAGTTATAAAGGATGTTGTTGTTATGTGCCGTGGAGTCGGTACCTGTACAGGGTTTCTGTAGGCTGTAAATCTTTATGGGAGCAGAAAGCGTCGTCTTTCTCCCACAGAACAGCTGGTAGTTTCGAACTGCTGACCGTGAGATTAGCAGCCGGATTCTAACAACCACAAGTTATAACGCATAGTGAGACAAAAATAGAAAAGAATTGCTCTGTAGATAATGTCAATAAATCAAAAAAGATTAGTTATAATAAGTAATAAGCCTCTGATACATATCCCTTCTCAACAGTTAATTTAAGAAACATAAATGCCAGCATGAGTAATTTCCTTTTTAAGGGGCCTGGAAGCAATAAAGTGTAATAAACCACACATTTGTGGTCAAGAAAAGGAAAATACCTGAACAACCTTTGCCAAACTCTGTGTAAATGAACCAGCCAGAAAGGTGAGGGCATTCCAGAAAGTATTTATGTTTGGGGGGTGGGGGGGTGTATCTTCTTTGAAATACTTATTTGGAGAGAAAAAAAAAAAGATGAACTGATAAATGTCTAATTCTCAATGAAGTTTCATTTTTAATCTCTTCTCTATATCATAATTTCACTTTCAAGTGTCTTAATTTGGGCTCATAAACAGACTTTCCAGTAGGCATGAGTTGTTAATAAATTTTTTTTTTTTTTTTTTTTTTTTTTTTTTTTTTTTTTGTCATTTTACTATGTTAAAGGAGTAGCACTTTAGGATAAGCAGGTGACCTCAAGGTCAGTTTGAACCTCAAGATTGGCAGTTCAAATTCACCAGCTGTTCCTTAGAAATAGGCTCGCTATGAGTCAGAACTGACTTAACAGATCTTAACAATAACAACAGTGACTTAAGATATCAAACACACAGATAGAAGACATCTCATTTGTTGTGATTCTACCTTATGCTAATAATTAAAATGGAAATTTAAATAAATTCTTTCATTTTATTGCAATATATATATGAGCATTAACCATAATATGCAGATGATGTATGTAAGACTTATAAATAGATACTGAGTATCTATTCTACAATTAGTGGTTGTTGTAATCAGAATATTCACCTAGTCATGTAAACAGTCTCTAAGATAATAGCGATTTTGGTCTTTAAATTTTTTTTTTTTTTCTGTGACATGTGCTGTTTTAACAGCTATAGATTAGCTAATAAATCTAACAATCATAAGTATTTGCTATGAAATTAAAATATAGTTTTCATAATGGCAATCTAGTTTAAAACAAGATTAAGGGATTTCATGGTCTATCTGTCTAATTAAGAGGCTCCAAGGAGAATGTTTTTGAAAGGGCACACTAGCATTGATACAATAGCTTATAAAGTGATTGAGTTTCTTTTAGAGTGTAGCATTTTGGTGGCCCACATGAAAGTACATTGTTTAAATTGTGATTTCCAAATGCCAAATGACTCTCCAATTTGTTGTGTGTGCATGTGTTGTATGTTTACATCTAGTTGATGTTATTCTCAAATTTTTTAGATGTTAGTAATTTTGATAGAGTTTTTCAGTTTCCTGATATCAGTTCACCATTATCAGTTGTGCCATATACTTACATACACATACTTGTATATACACATAGCATATACACATAGCATATATATATATATATATATATAAACAATGGTAAGTCAAAACTTTTGTGGAACAGCTGGTAGTTTCAAACTGCTGACATTGTGATTGGCAGCCCAACTAGTAACCACAATGCTACCAGAGCTCCTTAGAGAATCCTAGAAACCTTTATTAAATAAATCAAAATGGAAAGTCATAATTTCTCAGCAATCCTCCATCCAGGCCTATGCACTTCTCAAGGTAGTGTTTTTGACTCTCTAACCTTGGATGGAAAGGAGCTCTGGTAGTGTTGTTGTTGTTGTTGTTGTTAAGTGCCATCGAGTCGGGTCCGACCCATAGCGACCCTGTACAGGGTTTCCGAGGGTGTAAATCTTTACGGGAGTAGAAAGCCTCATCTTTCTCCCGTGGAGCGGCTGGTAGTTTCAAACTGCTGACCTTAAGGTTCACAGCCCAATTCGTAACCACTACGCTACCAGAGCTCTGGTAGCGTAGTGGTTACGAATTGGGCTGCTAACCTCAGGGTCAGCAATTTAAAACTACCAGCTGTTCCGCCAGAAAACAACGAGGCTTTCTGCTGTGGTAAAGATTTACAGCCTCGGAAACCCTGTACAAAGGGTCTCGCTTTGAGTGGGAACTGTCTCCACAGCACATAACAACAGCAGCAACAACATAGCCTAGTTAAGGAGTCCTGGTGTGGCGCTGTGTGTTAATGCGCCAGACTGCAAAGCCGTTTGAACTGCAAGGTTGGCGGTTCAAGCTCACCAGCTGTTCCTTGGAAACCCTATACATGGTCGCTATGGGTGGGAACCGACTCGACGGCACATAACAGCAACAACAACCTTGGATGGAAGAATTCTGCACTCTTGTATTGACATCACATCAAAATAGCTGCTTGTTTATCCTGGAGGGAATCAAATTGTGTTCCTTTTCAATGTTCTTTGAATTTGGGGAGCAGAAAGAAGTCTGAAGTGGGATGATCAGGAATAAGGTTTCCCAGCAAAATCCTCATAGCACAGCCCTTGCTACAATTGTATTGTCCTGATCAATGCAATTTTCTGTTTTCCTAAAACTTTTTCCAAATGAGCTCCCATGATCTCTCTGTGTCTTTTGAGAAAATATTTTAAGATTACACTTTAAGAATCCCCAAAATTAGTAGCCCAAACCTTCTAAACTGTCCTCTATGCCTTGAATTTAACTGGCTCATCAAATCCCTCAGAAGCTACTGTTTTGATATGACCTTTGTTTTTTTTTGTTGTTGGTTTTTTTTTTTTTAATTCTGAACATGTCCTAACAAGATGGAGATAAATGTGTTTTACTGAGAGAATTTCTCTGCAGCCATCCACTAATTACAGAGACAAGTTTAAGCATGTTTTGTTTAGAGTAAACCTGTGCATTTATGAACTAGAATCATAGTAGCAATACTTTCTGACTCACCCTTGTATATGTAAATGTATAAGTATACATTTAAAATATATCATGTATTCACTCTCATGTGTGTGTGTGTATATGTATATATATATATATACATATACACACACAGATTTTCTTGTTACATTTATAAATGATACTAAGCCATGAAATAATCTGTAGCAAGCAGATTTTTTCTTTATAGTACATGTTTTTTAAACAGATGTTTTAGCACTATCATCAACTATTTAAAACACTTGACACTTTTTCCCGTGCTCAATGTTTTTGCCTCTGTGCACCATTGTTATTTTCTGTCCCCTTACTTCATTTTCTCCTATGATTTCCAAGTTATACTATATCACTTGATACACTTTGGCACATTGTTAAAGTATTTCTACTTCCTGTTTTATTTGAATTCCTTCCTGTGCTCTTCAGCATACAGCATACAACAGCTGCTTAGTTTCTGTACTATCACTTTCTCACATGTACCCAGTGAGAGATGTAGGTCACACACAGGAGCAAGGTTTCAGGGTTGTTGGCAAATGGTATTCCATTACCTCATAGTCATGTTTAATAATCATGCCATTAAATGTTCAGTGTGCCTTGAAAGTGACACTGATGAAATACCACAGGATACTTGACATGGTATTAGAAATGTGTTCAGATTTTTTTGTGGCAGGACAACCATTCTTGTCTTGACTCTTTGCTATTTATTCAGTCATGGTGGCTTTCTGCTTTTAATGTTTTCTTTTGTCACTTACTAGTGGGCTTGTTGTATTCTAGATATCAATAGTGAAGGAATTTTGAGACTATTTAGATAACATTAGTCTCTTATTAAACATCAGCATTTCTTATGCATCCTGGAGCAATGTAAGTTCCCCAAATTTTCTTTAATTAATGTTTTGGGTTTAATTATAAGACCAATGCATTATCATTAATAAAATATGGAATGTAAGGAAATGTATATTTCTACATTTTGCACACCACAGTGAAAGGAAAAATCATTTTATTTATTACAGTTTTGTCTTTTAAACAAAATGCATATTGATAGAAATACTTACAGGAGTTATAAAATGCTTTCTTATCATAACTTTGCTTCCTACCATTTTGTTTATCTTATAATATTAAATTTCTATTAAATTATTTCAACAAAAGTGACATTTGATTATATGGTTATACTATAGTTTGTTGCAACATTTGATCATTGTTTTATGATAACAATATGATAAACATTTTTGATAAATTAGCTAATTTAAAGCCTCCGGAATACGATTGCATTATTTTCTTGAATGTTGTTGTTGTTAAGTGCTGTTTTGTGGGTTGCGACCAATTGCGACCCTGCATAGCATTTCAGAGAAGCAACCCATCTTGCAGTTCAAATGGCTTTCAAGTCCGACACTTAAACCCACAGCACCAATACAGGTAAATTTATTTGTTTTTGTTTGTACTCCATCTTCAGACTCTCCCATCCCATATTTCTTTGTTTTTATTCAATATTTAATATATAATACATTAATATATTTCAAAAAGTAAAAACTTAGGGGGAAATCATTCTGGAGAAATATAACTCTATTCTAATTAATTCATTTAGAAACAGCCCCATAATAATAATAAACAAAC